AGCCTACAATAATTTTATTCTCAAATTTTATATGAATAACGTGTTGATATGTTATTGTACTGCAAAAATTTTAGTTTTTTTTTCTTTCAAGCATTATTAGAGTTATTGTTACTTGACGCTAAAATCGTAACGATAATTGTCTTGTTTTAAAGAACGCTTAAAAGAATATCTTAAAGTCGATTTCATACATTTTAAGCATCATTCAAATCGTTGAGTTAAAATTTACCATGTAAAAACTTGTTAACTCTTTTGTATTTTAATAGAATTTTTTTTTCGCATCAAGACTAAGAACACCCTTTTGAAAATGCGAGTTTTGTTTGTTAATTTACAGCTTGCTGATTTTAATGGTTGTTTAAGAGTCCCTTCCACTCCCTATCGAACTCGATTATAGAAGGGGTGGAGACGGAGAGAGAAAATTCTAAACATGCTTTTAATCCTTTGCATTTAATTTTCACAAATATCATGGATATTTGGCACTATCTTTCGATACATGTAAAATATAAAGCCGTCACCCAATCAGAATTTGAGATATAAAGCGTGCGGTATTTTAGATTCTCTATTAATTTTTCATCACTATTATTGCAATACAGTTCTGTAATCTTCAGTTTTTGAAAAATATTTAAAATACTAAACAATTATTGTTTTCAAATTTTTAATAAATATCTTTATTTTAATGCAATTAAAGCGAAAGGAAATTTTTAGTGTCATCCAAATCTATTTTCATCAATTAAAAACTGCAATAAGACTAGATTTTTAAAAAAATCTAAGAACTGCGAAAAATATAGTTTTAAATTGCCTACCCAAAGCTACAAATCGCATCATTTTATTGCTTTAAAGTTTTGATTAAAAACGCATTGAAGTTCTAAAAATTATCAAGCGCTATTTTTCATAATCTAATAAAGCTACCCCTTTATTTCTTACCTTTTTGAAAGGTATTGTGCTGTCTAATAAAACTATATCAACAAAAGTTAGTTAAGTACAAAAAATATCCAAAAAACACAAATTAAACATTCAACCTAGAATCCAAGATGGCGAAGTTAGAAGCCTCTTAAGCAATGGAACTTGATTTAGACCAAAAAAGATATGGAGCTCCAAAAATAAACAAAGGTAAGTTTCCTTTTTATTACATTGCTTTTCTTTTAAAATGCACTGATATTGAAATATACAGTCATCAAAAAAATTAAAATTTATCTGCCCAAGCATGCTATCATAAAGCTGGGCAACTTTCTCACTTTTCTAAAATATGGTTTTCAGAGCCCTGATAAGTTCCTCAATCAAACAGTTGAGAGAATATTAGTTAATTTTTCTCTATTGTTTCGTTCAGGAACTTGTAAAGATATGAAGAAAGGTTTAGGAAACTGGAACTTTTTAAAAAATAAAAAAAAAATCGAGGAGCAAAATATTTGAACTTGATTTTTAGCTTTTGAACTTGAGCAGAAAACTTTTTTTGAACTTGACTTTGTAGTTTTGAACTTGCCAATGCATCATGCAACCTTCGTAGGTAAGAACTTAAACATTCTTTTCGAAAAACCTATCGTCAACATTTGATAGAGAAATATATAAAGCAAAAGTGACATTATGAATATTCATAAAAATTTCTGCCACATGCGATTTATTACCAATTACTATTTTCCTTTTAATTTCTGAGATAGTTTTTTTTTCTTTTTATGAGAACGAGAAAAAAAATTATTTGAGCTTAATAAGGCGTAGGGCTGCCATATAATCACATATATTAATACTTCATCTTTTCTCTTCTTAATGAATTATAGGCTTTTAAGTGGCCAACAGCTAATTAAATGTAACTTCCTGAGGCTTAACTTCATTAATTCTACACTGTTTCCCAATATGTATGATAAATTACATTTTAATGTTAATCTTTGTACTTTCATAATGAGCTTTGGTACAGAAATTTGGTCGATACCGTTGTTAAAAATAAGACAGCAAAATACTTTTTTCCTATCAATATGTTTAGAACTACAAAGAATTTTTTTAAGGAAATTTATTTAATGTAGTTAAATACTCATATAAATCAAGAAATTTATATAAAAATTATGAATTGTATCATCATTTTCTTTTCCATCATCGTTTTTTGTGATACATAAATTATATTTCTAATTTCTGCTCTGACTTGCAAAAATCAAAATTTTTAAAAAAAGATAATGATTTGGGTCACCTTAATTTAGAAAAATAGTTATTAATTATTACTGATAATAATTATAAAATAAATCAATTAAATTATATATTCATTTTAGCTTATTATTTAAAAATAGTTAATATTATAGTTATTATAATTTATATAATTCTTAATTAGATTTAATGATAATTATCTCTATACTATTAATTAAAATGAATGATTTTGATTATTAATTCATTCTAATTTATATTTATTCTTTTATCCCCATAGTTATTCTATTATTTACTAAGTTAAATAATTATTATTATCAAGAAATATCTTTTAATATATCAAGCATAACAATTATTTCATTAATTTTTTATTCTAACTTTTAGTGAGATATTTTCTCTTAATATTTTTTTAATACCTTTGTAGAGTGTGTCGAGCCGGGATAGCCTGGTCGGTAGGGCGCTGGGCCCATGTCCGAGAGTTCATGTGTTCGAACCCAGCCGGCTGAAGACTCCCCGCGGAGTAAAGTGACTGACGCACGTTAAATCTGTCGAGTCGCAAAAGTCCCCCATGTTCCCATAACAAATCAATACCTCTGGGGGTACTGGATTGGAGATCGATCGTTCTCTGATTAAGATCAAAATTACGATCTTTGGATGTATGAATGGGTCCACCCTATAAACGGGTGCGACGTATGGTGTGGCAGAAGTCGAATTCTCGGACGTAGATGGCGCCACTGAAAAACGAGAAACGCACACTCTGCCTTAAATTTGCTCGGTTTCACCAAGTTGCATTAGAAACAACAGCAGAGTGTGTCGAACCAGTTTAGCTGCTGAATCGTGGTATAAACAAGCGCCACTATTCACCCACGCATGATGTTGCTTGCAGATATCAAATTGAAAATAATTCTCACTGAAATGCCATTTAGATAATATACTGACAAGGCTTTTGACTTCCAAATTTAAAATGTAGAAAAATTCTGTATTAAATTGAGTTCATGCAACTGGAGAAGAAAAATATCGTTGAAATCACCTGGTTGTGACTAATCACGTGGTTGTGCGTGGCGTGTTAACGTTACCTATGAGGCTCAGTTTATTACCATGCTGACTCAGTTTTTGTATAGGATTTAATTAGATACCTGCTAGCAACGCCATAATACAACGCGTGTGTGTCGAACCTGATTGGCTGCTGAATCGTGGCGTTGAAAAATGCCACAATTTACCGTGGCATAAAGAAATGCTTGTAATTTTACAGTTGTTCTGTAGAAATTATTTAAAATTTTTAATCAGTTTAAAATTATTTATTGCTCCAAAATAATTTGTTTATCGGAACAAAAAAAAGTCCAGAGGTTTCATGCATCATTAAAAAAAATTCATTTAAAAACAACTTCTGATCTGGAAAGTGGATAAAGGAATAATTTTAAAAAGGTAAAGCTGACAATTGGGTATAATATAGCCTACGTCACAGGTTGTGTTGTTCCTACTAAATTTAACCCATGAACGGCATTTTCTGCGAGCCTAACTTCAAGCCACAAATAAACAAACGAAGTGTTCGATCGTTTAAATAGCTGCACGCCAGATTTTATTGCATTATAAAGAAAAGTTATTGAAACTAAATAAACAACAACAACTAAAACAAATAACAACAACTACTAATAACAATAACTAAATAAACAACAACTAAATTCCATTCGTTTAGCATTGCGTCATATGTTGTTCCTACTAAATCGAAGTAGTTGTGTTTTTTTCATATTATACCCAATTCAGTGAATGGCACATTCTCATTCGTTTTCTAATTTTCAATCCCCAACATGTAGCTGATTGAATTGAATATTTGAAACTCGAGGTGAAGAATAAGAACGCTGAAACGTGCCTTATAACGTGTTTGTCCTTGGCGTGTTAATGTTACAACGATTAATCCTGGTTTATTAATATGCTGAATCCATTTTCGAATGAGATATAATTGGATATTGATATCCAGGTATCCAATTAAGCGTATGGATTTTTTTTCTCTTTCAAATGAAGTGCTAGCAAAGTATTTTCCCCGCTTTTTATTAAATATATCTTAATTTATTTCTTTTTAAAGAATATACAGTGATATTTTAAAGAGGAAACTGAAAATTATAGATTTTCCATCATTTTATAAATTATTTAAAATAAAACGCATTAAAAATTCAAAAGTGGTTTATATGGGCTAGTTAATACTAATTACATTTAAAAGTGAAAAAAAAAACTTTTTTTAACCAACAATTCGATAGAATACTTTTTTTTTTCAATCCTTCTCTGTATTTCAATTTTAATCTTTCATTGCTGAATCGAGTCTATTCTTGTATTTTTTTTTATTTCAAGTAAAATTTTAATAATTTATTTTATTATTATTTTAATTATTAATATTTTTTAATATTCTTTTTTTAAAATTATAATATAATCTTTTTTATAATAATTATAACAATATTTAAAATTGGAAAAAACACGTTTTAAAAAAAAGAAGGAAAAAAACGATTTATAATCGTTTTCTATTTTTCAATCGTTTTTTATTTTCCAATTAACTTTTTTCGCTGAAAAAATAAAACTTTTGAGGACTATTTTTTTCTAGTTATTTTATTATAATTTTACTGTATTTCACAATATAATTAATTATGATTACTATATAATTAATTATAGAGTAAAATAACAATAAAATTATTGAAAAAATAAAACATTTTTAAGCAAAAGATTCTGTAAAATATGCATTTTCTTAATCGTTTTCCATTTTAAACATTAGTTTCTGCTTAAAATGGAACACATTTTGTCCAATTTACCTTACTACAAGTTTCTCAAATGTATAAAATTTGAAATCTTATAGAAACTAGTAAGGCCAAGTTTTCCTGCACATAGCCTTAACAATTCAACCATGTGTACAAAAAATATTTTTTTGTTTCGCTAGTATATTTTGTTTATCTTGGCGCTTCAAGCATTTGATGCGCCTATTGGCGGCGAAGTTACCTACCTTTTCTTCAAAACACACCGGTAGAATGTAGGCATCGGTTGAGGATGATCGGGCTCTCAAATAATTGAATGATTTAGAAAATGTGACAATTTAGGTGATTTTTTGCGGAATATCCGCAACATAAAAATGAAACTAATTTACAGCTTTATTTAGTTTTTTCCGAAAGTTCGGATTTAAAAACGTAGGTAAGTTTACTTTTTCTGTAATTTTGTTGATAAGTTATGTTTTGTTAAAGAGTTCAATATTGAGTCAAATGCTTGTTATACATTTTTTTTTCAGTTATTTTAACGATATATGATTGCTTATTCTTTGAATTTTTTTAATGGGATTTTCTTTTCAAAGATTATAATTGAAAGATTATAACTGAATTTTCAAAGATTATGCTTTTTATTTTTTTTAAATAATAATAATACTAGAGAATAATAATAATTTAAATTTATTTCACAATTGTATATTTTATATATACAGTATTTATTTCTTTTTCTTCTTAATCGTATAATAATCAAATATTTTTTCATGCTTAATCCGTTTCATTTTTGTATACTTTAGTTTTCCAAACTTTTTAATTAAAGTTGCAGGATTTTTATTACTTTAAAATATACAATATTATAAGAAAATTTTACTTTCATATGAATGTTCTTATTTCCGAAAATGTTGTGAAAAAACTATTCTGCGATTTTTCTTATAGTTGTTTTTATAATATCTTAGATGTTAAGAATATCCCATTTGTAATAGTAAAAAAGTATGCTTTTTCAATACTACAATAGACATGACTTCTTTTAACTCCTTGATAATTTTAATTATTTTTCTCCTTCAATAACATGTGAACTAATTTGTAATACCTAATTGAATAAATTACTAATTTGGTTATTCAAATGTGTGAAGAATATAATTTGTAATTATTTAACACTAATTAATTTATGTAATTCATGTTACATAAATTAGTTTTCAAGGCATGATTTTTCCCATTAGTTTAGATTGTTTGGTGTATCCAAATTTTTACAAAGTAAATCTGTTAACAGTAAAAATAATTGTTTTAACAAATAGATAATTTTTTAATTTTAAAAAAGTTACTGCCAAAGATATTGCGATGTATAATTCAGGTAAGATACATGTGATTCGGATAAGATAAATTAATTGAAATACTTTTTTAAGTTGTAAATAATTTATGCTTAATGTTCGAAATTCGATCTTCGATTTAAAATTAAAAAGAGAGAGAAAGCGACTTTTTAAATTACATTATATTGCTCAAATAGTAGTTACCGAGTAACACTGATTTTTGTAAACTTGTTACAATATTCACTATCCAAAATTGGCGAAACAGCCATACCTAAAAAAGTGTTGAGTTAAAAAAACATGTTAAGATTTTGACACTCAAAATCACTGAAATGAAGTTAAATATGTAAAAAACTTTTGTTATTTCTGGTTTAGTTTTTTATTATTATTCAATTGCAGTATTAGAAGTTTTTATTATTGTATAGATATTGTTTTGTCATTTTTGTTTTGTTGTCATTTTGCATATATTCTTCGTGTTGTATATATTTTTTCTACTCTACACGTTATTTTATTTGTAAATTTATATAGTATATGTTTTTGTGTTCTGTATAACTTTGTTATAAAAGGGATATTATAATTTTATGTTAATGCGAAATTTATAAAAAAAAATGCATATATGTTTACGAAATTGTAAGCAAAATTGTTTTAATTGAGAAATATATAAATATTTACGTAATTTTAGACTTGTCTAATTTAACTAACAAAACAAAATTAAACGGTATCCTCTGAATAGTTCTTGAAAAACTGAAATTTAAAAATGCAACTTATTTTTTTAAATGCCATTTTCAATTATTTTTCTTAAAACTTTGACATTTAAGATTATGTAATTTACTATGAAGTCCAAATTTATGCACCTTTTAATTCAAAAATTCTTCGACCGTTTTAAGTAAAACAATAAAAAATAATAAATTATTGAGAGTTATATTTTAAAAAAATTTTTTATGTAAACAAGTTTTATAATTATCACTTAATAGAGTCACTTAAATAGTTCCAAATATGTGGCGAAGTACTAAAAAATTGCAATTAAAATTTATGGGCCCAAACTTTTCGACCTCTCTCCTACCTAAACTATTATTTTTATTAAGTGAAGAATCAAACACACTGAAAGAAATGTGCTTATATTTTTTAATCATTGATTTATTTTAGACAGAAAGTATGTTTTTGTATCTAATTTCGTAACTTAAAATATCGTCTACGAGTAATTAAGTCTTAATATGTGGGTACCGATAATTAGACCATAAAATATTTAGGCTTTCCTTGCTTTTTTACGTACTGTACACAGTAAATTTAAAAATGCAAGATTTTTAAAAGCAAAAAAATTACTTTTCTGCGCCAACTTTGGATATTCTGCCTCAAAATTGGAACGCTGAAACAATTAGGAAAAAGAGATAACCGTTATGCAATTGTTACAAGTTTTGGATTTAAAGTTTATAAAAGTTTTGAAATAGACAGAGAAACAATGACGTGAAAATAAAAATTATAAGTACTTCAATGAAAATATTTTGCAGCGATATTTCTGTGATGCACGAATTGGCTTGATTGTTGTTATTAACTTTTTTGGTCATGATGAATTCAAATTGGGCCAATAGTTTTGCCATGTAAAACCTTCCAAAATATTTTTGAACCAAAATGTAAAGACCTACCTCAAATCGAATTTGAGTATTTTTTGTTAAATTTTATCTCTCTCAGATTAAGATTTTGAAGTTGGCTACCGCTCCAAGGGCTTGATACCACTCCAGAGCTGGTACCAAAACTTGGTACCAGTAAATCCCTCTTTTGAAAACATTTCAATTTATACAGGAGATTGAAAATTAAGTTTCCCCTTTCGGACAGAGGTATGGTGTATGAAAGACAAAATATATAAAAGTATAATGAGGCATTGTTTTATTCACCTAATTTCCAAGTACTTTAACATATTTATCATACGGCTTTGTAAGCTTTAAAAAGCCCTCTGCAAGAAGATGAGGGCTTTGCATATGGAAGAAGGTTTGAATAGCCTGCCAGGTATAGCTTGCGCAACTTCAGCATTGCTACCAAAGCAACTTTTGTCAAGATTCTTATTCAATGCCGTAAACTGTCACTGGGTACAAGATTATGACTGTATTAAGAATGGTCAAGACGCTCCTAACCCGGTTGCAACCTGCAAAATGATTTTGCTTTGTCGTTGCTGAGTGTGATCTCACAATGACAGACCTGCTACATGAGAGAAAGCAATGTTTCTTTTTCCGAATAGCCTCGATCAATTTCGATGGTGTGTAACAGTGCCGCGTAACATTGACGGTTACCACTGATAGGCTTGGCTCTGCTTTGCGCAGGGGCTGCAGAAGTATGGAGTCTTGATCACAGTCTAACAATATCTAATGTTGTAAATGATTGTTATCCATCTATATTTATATATAGAAGCTCCTTCGGAGTGCATTATATTCATAGTATCAAACATATATCAAAAATAATATATAAAAATATTATTATTTTTTAAAATATAAAATTTTATTTACAGTTTAATAACCGCAAACAGTTAATACGTTATCATAAATTGTAAAATTTAAACATGCATATCATAAATGTTATAACGTAAGATTTATTTATAATGAACATCGTTCTATTGAGCCTTTAATTTAGAATTAATAATTAAATTTAATAATAGCAGAGAAAAATACTGAGGGTGGTAAATAAATATAATAGTTAAATATCTTTTAATTAGAAACAAATAAATTTTTTACGAGTTGACAATAATCTTTATAACTATCATTGATTTTTATGCTAATGATAACCAAAGAAATATATGTCTTCCTGCGAAAAAAATTTTTATATCATGCGATTTATCTGTCCAATAAGAATGCATGGACCAGTCATCATTTTCATCTGATTTTTATTTATATAAAATTTTATATAATTTATTTCATTTATTTAAAAAACAGATCATTTTAAAAATAGTTTATAATTCAAAATATTTTCTTAAATTACGGATAGACAAATTACGGTTTTATCATTTTAGGATATTTTATATTTTCGCTTGTGTTCTTTTACGAAAAAACTGCAGCGGTATATTCTTAAAATCGCGACACATTAAAAAAGGTCTTATTTCATTTGACAGCCATTCTCTGATGACGTTATGAAACTTCCAGCAATGGGCCCTGCTTGAAATTCAAAACCACTACCGATATGCAGGGGACATATTGAAGACGTATAACATTTTTGTCGAGTAATAAATAAGACATAAAAAACTTTTATGTTTCGATTTTGACGCCCGCATAGGGGACACTTTTTTCTTTTATATTTTCATTTATTTATCGAAGCGAGGACGCATAACGTAAAATGATAGGAATTTATTGCTTTTTATTGCATTATTATGTCCAATTTTGAGCCATCATCCCGATGTGGGATTTGATTTGGTTCCACCACCTTTTCCCAAGTAGGGATGGAAAATTTTTCCCTCTTCTTCTTTTTTTTTTTTTTTTTTTTTTTTTTTTTTTTTTTTTTTTTNTTTTTTTTTTTTTTTTTTTTTTTTTTTTTTTTTTTTTTTTTGGCGTTATTCCAGTCAATACATAAACATAATATGTTTTTAAGATATTTAACCCAGACGTTCAATAATTGGGTGAGTTGAGCAGTTATTGGTATAAAACAAAAAGTACGAGTAAATTTAACTCCACCTTAACTTAATCACCACCTTTGATATATATTCTTAAAATTTTGGCCAAAAATAAAATCCAGAATAGCAAGCGAGGAAAAGAAATAAAAGTTTTTTTAAAGTCTGACAAATCATCATTGAGAAATGAGTAATTAAAAAGTTTAAAACTAATTTAATTCTCGAATGAAACGTCAATGCGTTTCTGTAAAATCACCTTTGCACTATAAACCCTTCCATTGATTATTATCGTTGTCTCTAAATCAGCTCCTGGAAATATATGTCGTATTAATAATCATATGAGGACCGAGATAGCCTGGTTAAAAGGTGGTTGGGCCCTTGTCCAAGAGGTCGGAAGTTCGATCCCCGTCGGCCGAAGACAGTGTAGTAAATGGTGACAGATGCAAGTTAAATCTATCGGGTCGCAAAGTCCTCCATTTTCATATAACAAATCAAAACTTTGGGGGTACTGAATTGGAGATTAATCTTTCTCTGGTTCAG